AGTATACAAATGCACTTTGAAATTGAATTTTGAATAAATGATTTATGAACTGCTCATTACTCTTTTTTTTGCTCATATGGTGCACATACATTTCTATCAAGAGTGTGTGTGTGAGAGAGAGAGAAAGAGAGAGAAAAGACGGAAAGCAAACAAACTGTACGATGTAAATGTTTTATTTTTCTTAGAATAGAAAAAAACTGAGAAATAATCCGCACAGTTACAATAATGTTGGTATCTGTGGCATAAACCAAGTATTGATTTTTTTTAATGATTTGTAATATTGCACTGAAACAATAAGTATTATGTAATCATCAGTATAATGTTGGGAAGATTATTAAATTTTTGATTGAGATCATGAATCGATTGATGTTAGATCACCATTGAAAACCTGGAAGCACTGGACTCTTCAGCAGTACACATTTATGATCCCACTTACGGGATTCGAACCCATGACCTTCGGTCTCGCTCGCGAACTCATGATTACTTCAATTTTTGTTTTCAGTTAAGGCTTCGTGATTTCACAGTTATTCTCGAGTTATTCATAACATACAGATCGACATTACATACTAGACTGTTTAGAAGTGATATAGAGTATGGTTATAAATGGTGAATTTACTTTATTTACTTCATTTACTTTATAAAGTGATTCAATAAGCACATAGCGTAAGCACGACTTTGAAGGAATCATAATGAATATTTAGACAACTGTTAGTTCATTGGTAAACAGTTTTGTAAATCGATGGTTGAGGTAAAATAAAACAATAATATTGTAGTATATAGATAAATTTTATATAATTGATGGATCTATTAAACTCCTTTGAGCGTTAATCTGTCCGTAAATCGATTAAACGATGTTATATAAATTCTTTCACACACATCTAGAGTAGCGGTCTTCTTGAACTTGTATCTAGAAATAAAACAACTTTCAGGAGTCCCCAAATTTTTTCTGGCTGAAGTCAAAGATTTGTGTTGAGAATAAAGAGCATAGCATTACGGGCTGAACAGTAGTAACTTTAGATTTAAGCTAGAATTAAGGGTTTAGGCTTAGGATCAAGAACCAGTGTTTAATTATGTGTTATATATATATTATCTGAATACAAAGTGTTGAGTACGTTGATACTTTTAGTGCCATTTTCAATCTTAAATTAACATGATGAAAGATAAAATTCCTTCGTTCTGGAATTTCTCACTAAAACATGAAGGTCATTTCCTCACTTCTGATTGCTTCATCTCTATACTATAATTTAACCAAACGGTCAACAGTTATGTTCATTTTATGATTAACAGTTATCAATCCTGACTGCTTTATCTGTCAGCTTAACTACAATCGATTATATGTTCTGTTAACATTATATGTGTCCTGTCTAATAGTAAATTTGAATCAAGTAGATGACACAAACCCGTCACTTTACATATCTTAGTAATAGAAAATAACAATTGGTACGCTTAAATAATAACGATAAGTTTGAATGACAAATTCATGATCTCTTTCAGACAATCAAAGGACGAAAAACATAGAGGAACGATCTTTAATGTGTTGACATGGTTTACACTTTCATATTGAGATAACGTTTAAAGGTCGCTGTAATGGATAACTAAAGTGTCTATCGTAACTCTAACGCTAATTATAAATCTCAAGCATCCAGGTTCAATAAGTGACACTCTATTCTGATAAATCAGCCATGACCTACAAACAATTGAGTAATTAACAAAAATACCATTGAATGTTTAAACATACTCATTAGTAGAACAAATATTTGATAACCTAGCAATATGAGTAGAAAGGGATAATGGATAGTACCGTTCGCTTCAAACGCCATCACGTTATCTATTTACCTACTGAGTTCTGATAGCCAATTGCTTGTGCAATAGGGTTAAGTTTTAATTCACTTAGTATTGTTTACTTGAATCTTCCCACTGACGTTTTTAGGACTGAAATTCATAAGTCTGTTATTAGCAAATGTACATTCTCTGAGGATTGCCTCGATATTGCTTTAATTCACAAGCGTTCTAAGCAAATATATATAGTGCCTAGCAATGAATAATCGAAAATGTTTGAAGTGAACGGTACTAAGTTCGAGTTCTAGAGTGTACATGAATCATGAGATGTAGGTACAATCCAACTGACGAGTTCTAAATAAGACGAAACATACTAGTCACCATCAATCTCTGTTGGAGGATTTAAGTAAAACAATACCCAGTAAATGTAACTAACTGTATGCATTACATAATCGAAATAATAAAACATTTTCATATTCACATGTTACGAAAAATAGAAAAAAATGATCCGTTTTTTTTCTCAATGACACATGAATGTAAACTTCTATGAAGAAAATAAGAAAAACCCCACTTTGTTTTAAATGTTAATGTATAAAATTCAATTTATTCATTGTATATTTTACTTTAAAATTATGTTAAGCACACATATATACCATGTGAATTAGTTACTGATTACTAAATGTAAAATAATCCATATCATCAGAATGGGTTTTATGGAGATTTCAGAAATTCCACTGATTGAAATCATGAGTCATTTGAAACTAGACCACTATAGAAAACCTGGGAGCACTGGATGGCCGTTTCGTCTTAGTATGGGGCTCCTCAGCAGTGCACATCCACGATCCCGCACCCTGCAAGATTCGAACCCAGAATCTATCTATTTTTATACCATTCTATATTCAGTATCCATTATTTACGCTTGTTAATTCACATGAAGAAGTATAGGCTGTTCACTAGTTGTCTTCATTCAATCATGTCCTAAGTAATCCTTTCCAGTTGTTTCTAGTTTCTATTCGTTTTTTCTATGTCTGTTTCAAATTCTTAATGTGGTGTGTGTTTTTGGTCTTGTGGCATAGTTTAATGATTTCCTCAGTGTCAGTCCTATCCACTTCTAATGTCTTTTCTTAATTTCCTCTTCAGTTGAAAGTTGATTCATTCTCTTCAACAGTAGGATGTTACTGATGATATTTGACCAATGAACATTAAGTATCTTATGTAGATAATCATTTATAAATACTTATACCGTTTTGATGATGGTTGATACAAGTATTTATAGATAATCCACTGATCATAATTCTATTTGTTGTGATATTCTAATGAATAGTAATTAGTATTTCTGATGTTTGCCGAGTTACCAGAATAAATAAACACACGTTTAAAGAGTACTGAAAGGACCAAGTGTTAATGGCGGTCTCAAGCTGAGATAAAAGAGGAGGGTTGGGCATGGAGTCAGCAACACCATCCCGTAGAAAAAACCCTTATAAATTAAGTTTTATCAGAAAAAACGAACTGAACTATTTAAACACTGTCTTGGGAGTTGAAAGATATTTATATAGAAGGGTTATCACACCTCATGCAGGAAACCGTGATTCTTCAGAAATCACGACGCTGAATAAGAAATTAGGGATAGATGCTGCATGTGGATAGGATATACATTAAGGAAATCGTCAAACTGCATTACGAAGCAAACCCTAACATTGAATCCTCAAAGCAAGTGGAAAAGATCAAGACTAAGGAAGATACTGCATCAAGAATAGGGAACATTTTTCCTCTTCAACCTTGAAATAAGCATTAAAAGATTTTTTAGGAGTTTCCATATTGTTCTTCTCTAAGTTTATACATTAGAGTGAAGGTATTTATCATAGTCTGACATTAGCTATCCTGCATGAATGCGTTGTAGCCATATGAATGAATAAATAAATGAATTTAACACAAAAACCTATGGGACACTATCTTAAATCTCATTGGTTAGTCCAGTAAGTATAGCGCCATCGAATTAGTAATTTAGTATTAGTATTTACAGATGGTGTTGGTCTTCTCTTTATTGTACTATCTACAGAAGATAAATCAAGCATCTGATACGTTTAATACTATCACTTTTATTCTATGATATCAAAAAAAAATTATTCCCCATTGTCATTTTAAGCATTCTGTTATGTACTGATGTCCTGTTAATTATCACGTGATAAAATCACCAATCAGAACACTGACTTATACGACCTTGGCACCAGTACCATCAGTCTGGAGTCAACGTTGAGTTCTTATTGGTCCTCTGAGATAGTAGCCTCTCGACTAACTCAGCCGGTTTATTCCAGAAAACCAATATCAGTATCTTCTATATAAATCATATATTTCAGACATACTTGGTTTATATACAAGCCAGACAGATCATATTACTCTATAAAATAGAAAATAATGATTATACCAGATCAAGCCAAAAGTGGCTGTGAGCGTGAAAGACTATAGCTAATATTTGTCTGGTACCTGTATGTCAGACTAATTTCAACTTGTTCAATATTCATTGATTTTAAGTTTATGAATTTATGTATGTCAAAAGAAAGCTGTGAGGCATGAACTCAAGAGGCTTCTAGAAAATGAAAGAAAAGCTAATTGTATTTTCCTCTAGATGCACAAATTTAACATGCTTTAGTGATTTTCATTGGACAACGTGAAAATGTTCAATTATCCATAAATTTAATTCGATCATTTACTAAATAATCATTTACTTTAAATAATTGAGAGCATGAGTCAATTGAAGGTAGACAACCATAGAAAATATGAAAGCACTGGACGGCCGCTTCGTCCTATCGAGGAACTCCTCCGCAATAACCCCTATTCCGCCTTGCGTGTTTTGAACCCTGGATCTATCGGTCTCGCACACGAATGCTTAATCTCTAGACCATCTAACTGTGTTAAAGCCTAACTTTAACTAATCCACGAAATTGAGCGACACATGCACCATTGTCTTCAGTGAATTACCATCTCACAACAGACCCGATTGAACTCCACTATTTCCTGCTTCTTATTGGAACTCCAGGAAATACCTTTTGAAGAATTCTACAATAGGACGAAACGTCCATCTAGGGCTTCCAGGTTTTCAAAGGTTTTCTAACTTCAGTTAACTCACGATCTCAACTATTCAAATTACTATAATATCCACAAAACCTCGTTTGATATTAATCATTTATTTGTTTATTTCCTTCAAATTTCACTATTTCTAGTCAATTACTGATTCATTACAACAACTTAAAAGACCAGAAGAAGATATTGATATAATATATTCTACTGAAATTATTGCACCACCAGCAATTCCAACTAAAATGTCATCTGATCCAAATAATCCTATTTATGTGAATCATTCAATTAAACCAAATAGACCACCAACTATAGATAGAAAAGAAACTGATGTAAGTTAAATCATTTTGAACAATATAAAATTACATTATACTCTTATTTATTTACTGTGTATGTATCATTTCAATAAGTGTATAGTTTATTAAAAGTAATATATTAACCATAAACATCAATTGGTCAATACATTTACAAAAAGAAGAGACTGATATGTCCTAAGTTCAAATCTTGCAGAGTGCAGGATCATGGATGTTCACTGCTGAAGAGTCTCATACTAGGACGAAACAATTGTTCAGTGTTTCAAGATTTCCCATGATGATCTAGCTTCAATTGAATTATTTTTTTTCATTTTTCTAATCAGATGAGAAAGTTATTACTAATGAATTCTTTGAATATTCTAGCCGTAAAGTGTAATATTCAAATCTTGAAAGATTAATATACATATGAGTTTATTCATAATATTTCCAGTGATAGATGAATGTGTTGTATTCTGAAAGTTTGATCATTTTCATAGTTATTTCATTTGATAGATGCTTGATACACCATAATATTGAATTTTCGCTAGAGATTTCATTTTATAATGTAAACATTCAGTATATTTATGGGTATTTTCCATTTGGGTATATCATGTTATATTATATTAACACGTTCATAGTGAACGGTTATGGTTGGGTGAGATAGAAATGACCATAACATATAGCATTTTTAAATGAACTGAATACAACATAGAAAATGGTGAGAATAACGATGTTTCTGTGGGAATAAATCGATTGAATCGATCGAAGGTACACAATTAACTAGTATCAGAAGGAGTTTTGTAGAAATTGAGTCAATTGAAGCCAGATCACCATGGAAAACCTGGAAGCACTGAATAGCTAACTAATTGTTGCTTACAGTTTCAAAATATCTTGCATAAACTAAATATTGAGATGGTAGAGAATATTTGTATCTCAGGTGGATGATTTTGATGAAGTTTTGTTCTGTGAACTTGATGGTTTGATCGTGAGGCTTTCATCGTTACTCTGAACGACATCATCAGCACAAACGTTAGGTAGAAGTGAAGTGTTTGAATTTCTCCACATATGACTCACAGCTTATCCTGTACACCCTAATATTAATTGGTTATTGTTGACATTTAACCTGTTATGGTTTGCTTCTTTATTTTGAATTTATCTCTCATTGATTTGATTTTTGGTCCTATATTTGTCAGTAGTTTTTGTGAATGATTGATAAAGTTAATCGTCTTCAATGTGTTTGTTGATTGACCTGAGTGCCAAGCTTTTAAAAATTCTCTGTTTTTAGAACTGCATCTATTCAAGCTCTCAAAATTTTCCGAGTCGACTTTGTGTTCTCAGTTGTCCACATGCATTGATGTAAGCGAGGATATGTCATTGCGTTTGACCGTTAACTAATGTTCGTGTATGCGAAGATGAAAAGCGCGTCCGCTTTGTCAGATGTAGTGTTTTTCGCGCTCGGAACAATTTATTTTGTATATGATATTCGGTTTTTCTTTCTTTTTTCATTTCATCCTTTGGTTTGCATAGGATTGATTGAAGTGATTTTACTGGTTTGTATGCTACATCTATTCTAAAAGGCTTCAACAATCTCGTTGTAATTTCTGATATCATGAGATGATCCCTTTGTTGGTTTCTGTGCTTAATTTTGTTCCTGCTGCTGCGTTTGGTTGGCATTTTTTGATCAGGTTGATTGAGTAGTCGTTCTTTTGAAAGATAATCTTCAGACATTTTTCTTCACTTTTCCGCGCTGCAAGTGTGTTACACTGTGTCCTCGCCTTCTTGAACAAGGTTTGTATGCAGTTGGTTTTGTGAGCTCTTGGGTTGTCGCTACTGTAATTTAAAGTTTGATCTGTGTTGGTCGGCTTCCAATATATGTGAGCCTCCAGTTTTCCCGTGTCGGTTCTGATAATTATTGCATCTAAGAATGGTAGTTTGTCGTTTGGCTCCTGTTACATTTTGAACTAGATGTCATCAAAGACGTTGTTCATCAGATTGTAGGTGTTTTCCAGCTCGTCTGTTTTCACGATGACGAATGTGTTGTTTACATGAAGAATCCAAATTTTTTTGGTTTGATCACTAGCAAAATCGAGGCTTTCAGTCTCTGCATCACTGCTTCTGCAATAACTAGATTGTTAAAATAAAACCGGTAGAACACAGTGGAGTTGACCAGCATTGTTTCTTGCCGGTTTGATATGTGAACGTCTATCAAACAGATTTCGAATGTTATTCAGTGATGAAAATTAGGAGTATAAAAATTGATTATTCTGATCGGAAATCTCTGAAGAAATATGTATAAAATTTATTTCTATTTTCTGTCATTCATATGGTTGTCCAAAATTTCAACTGGAATAGAGAATGTTGCAGTTAGATATATGAGAACTGTTACTTCTCATCTGCATACACTTTTTCCGTGGTACCTGTAAAACCAACCATGTTAGTAGTGGTTCTGACGATCACCTAACTTGACTGCAGTACTTAAAAGACAACTGCTTGAGGCTGGTTACATACAGCCTTTTTACGAGTAGTTTTATGTTGGTCAGTCCCATACTCTAAAAGCTTCAGTGAATACTACGAAACTCCATGATACAAAGTGATAAGTGCTATTTCTAACCTTCTTCTTTCATTATGGTAAGAAAACATCACTGAAGAAGTTAGTCATCCGAGGGAAGCACTCTATCATAGTCACACTTTTGTACTGTCAGCAGTATGACTTCTCTCTCTGGCTCTAAGTTTATTGCTTATAGTCGCATTTCTCTCCAACTAGTTTGCTTGGTATGATGAAGCTTAAAAGAACAAATGTTCACTGAATACAATTTAGTCGGGTAATTACAAAACTTAAACTCAACAAGGTAGTACTACGATCAGTACTGAAGTACAGAAGAAAATATCTGAGTGGTCTATACTTATGATTAAACCTTTCCTCCATCTTAATGCCACTTTTTCATTGTATACCTAAATATCATACGGTTACATAACCAAAACTTAAATAGGAAAGATTTGCTTTTTCCTATTAGATTTAACAGTTTTCTTCAATATCTCAGTTCTACTTCAAAATGAAATCAATAGAGGAATACCGTTAGAAATCTAATCTTTGATTAATACAGTCTAAACAATAATGGTTTCTAACATTCTATTGTTGGCAATCCGTAAGATGATTTAACAATAAAAGTAAATAATTCTTAATGTAATTGTCGTCATTATTATTTTTCATTCTATTGAACACATAAATATTGGTACAAAGGAACACCAAATAAATATGCGCCATACAAGTCACTTGATTTGTGTGTGGGATGCCCAGACCGAAACAGGTGGTTTCCTTAAGGGGCCATACCCCAAGCCTTCGACCTAAAGATCTGATCCACAAGGCGGTGGAGCAACGTCAGAAGATACAGTCCCATGCTAGCCGATGACCAATAGTTGGTTTGTATTCCATTAGTTTCCTTAGGATCCTGGAGCCAACCCATGTGGATCATTGATTTGGAATCAGGATTTTCTAACTCCCTTAGATGGATCCTTCATATCCACCAAACCAGTTAAAGCGTGAGACATTTGCTTCATTATAAATTTGATCAATTTTATTGATGTAGCTCCGAAAATTTAGTTTAATCTATTAATGATAAATTTAAGCAAATTAAAACAAAATTTCTGTATGACAAATAGAAAAATATTCCAATTTATTTAGGTAAATGATAAGCATGTTTATGCAAACAGTCAAGAATTACGAACTGCATTAAAGGTTAGTATTATCATTCTGAGAATGTTTCACCCCTTCCCCCTCCACCTTAAAAAAATAGTTTTTTTTCTTTACTCTATTTCTTCTTTTATTCCCCTCTCCTACATAAATACTGATTTCAAATGCATACCTATACACATTAAACACACAAAATTTCATGTGTATGCATGTGTGCATAATATCTGTCAAGACAAATTTACAATACATATTGAGATTAAAATGAGTTCCCTAACAATGATGTGAAGTGAATGCACCATGTTGCATGTTTCCCTTCTTTTGATCACTTGTGTTGTGTCACGATTGTTATAATTCTGTGTGATTTTCCTGTTTGATGTTTACACTTACTAATAATAACACTTTTATTCCCTTTATCAAGAGTTTCAGTTAGTACAAGTATTATATATTATATAAGGAAATTACTTTTCATCAAACGATCCACGAAGCTATCACAACGTAATCGTAACAATGAACTAAAATGAGACATTTAAATTGATGGTTTGAAGATAATAGTTTGGTAGTTTGTGTAAATTATTTACCTTGAAGAATACACTGAAAAGCTGTTTCGTCTTAGTCTGAGGCTCCTCTACAGCGAAAGTTTGTAATATCAACTTGGACCCAACCTAAGATCTTTAAGTCTATCAGTAACCACCATTTTAGTGACCAACTTCAAGAAGATTCTTTAACTACTGGAAAAAGAAAATGATGTCTCTTATAGCATTGAAAGATGGTTTATCTGCACATAGAATTCATTAAAAATGAAAATATAAACTTCTGTATTTTATCTGTGTGACCGAATGACGTCATAATTGCCATTGTATCTGTATATTTTAAGTTGAATTTTACTTGTGGTCGTGGATAAACGTCGTTGATTTTGTATCCCAAGACAGGACTAAACAGCCGTTCAGTGTACCACAGTTTTCGAATGATTCTGTATGTTACTTAAGTTCGCTGTGAAGGCGACCTCAATATCTAAATAGTCTGTTTTAAGGAGCTGTCTAAAATGAGTGCATTAACTAGAACTAAACTGTATGTGCTTCAGAGAAATAATGATTTACAGTCAGTAAAATGTTTCATCAAACTTTAACTACTTAATTTATTTCAGTAGTTAAAATGTTTTAAAAAATTAGCCTATGCAACAAGTTACAATTTACTGTCAATCAGAATTAGCTAATAATGAAATATCGATTTTAAATCATAGTAAATCAATAATGTTGTTTTTTCCACCGGAAGCAAGTCCCCACATCCCCTTTTAAAACTCTAATACTACACTATACATTAACCTATGTACATAAATAAATAAATGTCCTTATCGTATATTAGGCAAAGGAGTTTGCAGCGTCAGCTATAGTCGACAGTGTGGTATCCAACAGAGAAACTTATTGGAAAGACGAATTAAATAGTCGAGATACAACTATTCAGCCATTAAACATGAATTATCAACAATATTATTTAACAAGAAGTGAACACTCAACACCTAATCTATCGATTAGATCACAAAGTTACCCAACTAATAATTATCATGAACAAAAGAAGCTTTATTTAACATCAGATTTTCTTTCTACCCAACATCAGTTGTCGTCGCAAAAACCGACACGACGAAGTAATCCACCACTTCTATCCCCTATGGATCATCATCAAAGACAAGATAAATTAGATGAAAAAAGTCAGATAGGTATCCGCCGATTGGATTTAATGAATTCAATAAATCCCGGTGACAAATTTACAGATTATGATCATGGACATTTCAACGATACTGTTGGATATTATAACACAGAGGTAAGGTAATGAAATGATCACGCATAGACTAACAAAGCGCTAAAAAGTAGATAAATGGGTACATACATAGATCTATATTAAATTTCACTTCAACTAATACATCATACATTGCTTGATACCTATATAGCTTGATTGATTTATAAGATGGTTCAACTTAATCCCTTAAATCTATGCATTTTTGTAGTAACAAATGGGTGATTTAGTTTTGTCTTTCACTTTTACCTATACTTGAATCCAGTTATAACAATGTTTAATCACATTACCGAATTGCAGAAATAATAAGGTACTTGATATTTTCAGTATTACGTTACCTTACATTGTTATTTCTTCGGGATAGTTTCAGTATCCAATTAAACATTGATACTTAACAAACTTTGGTAATGATGCTCATATTGTCATTAAACTGAATATTCAAGACATGTTTATCAAATTGTCTTCAAGAAATTTCTTTATTATCGTCAATAGTGTTTAACGCATTACCAAAGACCTAAGTAAATAAATAGGCATATACTCTATAAATCATGATTTAGAAACTGAACAAAAAAGTTAATTTTTCCACAGATGATCATCCAGCGGAATACTGTGAGCTCCGCTACTAACTGCTTCTTTGTCTAACTATGTGGTTGTTAATAGTAACAGTAATCAATATCGATTCAAATATTAAATATATACTGTTTACAGTTGTAAAATTAAACAAACCAATGATGATACAACTATCAAGTTGTAAATTTTCAATACTATCGAGTCAGCAATCAAACATTTCTAGAAGACGGAGCTGGTGTCTCAATCTCGTAGGTTGGTTGAAGTTAGATATTAACACCTTTGAAAGCCGGTCGACTCAATGGTCTAAAGGTTAAGCGTTCGAGCGCAAGACTAATAGATCCTAAGTTCGAATCTTACGAGGCGGGATCGTGGTTCCGCACTACTAAGAATTCCCTTGATAGGACGAAACGACCGTTCAGTGCCTCTAGGTTTTCCATGGTGTTCTAGCTTCGATTGACTCATGAATTCAACTGTAAAATTCGCCACAACCCCCCCCATCTGGTAATTTCTAGAAGAGTTTGCTTCCTTCATAACTAAACATAACACCATTATATGGCTATATGTTGTATCATTTTTAATTAACTAACCAATATATCTTTCATTACTTTTTTAATTTTGTGTTTTAAATGCAAATAATCCATGATAGCTGCTTGCCTTCTCTATGTTTCTTTTGAAGTTAGAATGACTCTATGTATCTGATGCATCATTTATATTTGCATACTTATTTACTTATCTAATAAAGAATACTCAGGACATAAATTGATTCTTTATGAAACAGTCTTGTTTCTTATCATTTACTTACTGATGAATTACAAGTCTAACAATGATATGATATTGATATAGAGCTTCCTAGCATAATATTACTAACTAACACAAATTTAAGTAGTATATTGAGACGTAGATAGTTTGTCTTATTTATCCAAGTTTATTTAGATTCAGTGTTGAATTATGAGTAGTTTCATTTGCTTTGAGTTCATTCCAATAACTTCAATGACTTTTGAAAGAATTTCATAATAATAGAGTCATCTCTTGTAATATATATATTGTCGGAATGACATATTTTCTTACTAATATCAGAGGTTTATGACGGATGATGTTCACTCCGTAAAGATATGTTAAAGTACAGACTGATTTCATCTAGAATCATCATTGAAAATCAAAAAATACCTGGAAGTGGTTTAGTTTTCTTTTATGGTAAATTTATGATATACTGGGTGTAAGATGTAAGGTAATTGACGATGAATAAATAATATCTCATCTAAGAAACGTGAACTACTTGATGTCATATTGAAGGTTGAATACATAATCCAACCGCTTTAGGTTCTGTGGCGAGACTATAATTTATGGAGGAGCCAATCAGATTTAAGATAGCAGGTCTCGGATTTTGGCTAAATACCAATTTGGCATTATAGCTGATGTCAGTTCGTGATGAAAACATTAAATATAATTCCTAACCCGAACATTCAACTGTACATCCTAATCCTATTCCCTCGCACTAATTTATAACCCTTATTTAACCCTAGTAAGTAGATGGATATTTTCAAGGTCATTGTAGTGTTGCTCAAAGGTCGTCCATAAATTATGGTCTCACCAGGTCTACATTTGATTTCTTTCATAAATTTGTGTTTGCGCTTATGAGGAACCTTATTCTGTGGCATGAGCTATCTGGTTACCAGTGGTTTTCTAGTCGAATTTAGTCTTTAATGTAGATAGTCTTTTCATTTATTTCCTTGTCCTGAATCGACTTAACTATTGATTTTTATAGAAAATATAGTATAGCCATCGCTATAATTATCGTTTCATTACAGTAGACAATGATCTTTTGTAAGGATAAACTAAATATATTTCAAAGAGAACAAGAACAAAGATTAGTGCAGATTGGTGCACCCAGTTATTGAAGAAGAGAAGTAAGGCTCGTTTAAATCTAAACTAGTTGATAACGGAAACTCATACCACAGTCTAAGTTTTTATCCAAAGATCACCTAACAACATTATGAACTGTACCAATCTTCGTTCTTGCTCTTTTTAAGATCATAAAGGGAACTATGTGTATGAACTATATTTCATTTATGTACAATGTAACACATTGATAAAGTAATTTAACTGTATACAGTCAACGTTACTCATAAAAACACTCCAGAAATGGTTTTTGAATAATGAGATATTGATTAGTAGCATCTAGCAGTGTGTAAACTCTTCATTTGATCTGTAATGTGTTATGCTAATTCTAAATGTGCTCCGAACATTCTCTGACAGAAAATTTAACCCTCAATAATCTCATACAACTGTCGGTTATTGAAAGTTAATTATCATGTATACATGTTATGTGTAAAATGGTTTACTTAATACGATCTCTTTCTTACACTTGGTCTCTGAAATGACAATATAGAAACGCCATATTTTCATTTTCAAATTAAACAATCTTCTTTTTCATTAATAAAGTATACTGAATAGTTTTTGCCTAGAAAGATCATCTTTTGGATAGAATTTAATGACTACAGATTTTAACATTTACTCTACAAAACTGACGTGATTGAACTTGGGATTCAATACATCTACACATTGGCATTCATTTCATACAGTAATAATCGATAAAGATTAACCTTAAGTACTTATTAAAACCCAATGTCTTTCTTACAGTTCAAGAGGGATATACACCAGAATTTTGTCAACTACTTCTCTAATGAATATTTACCAAGTGCTTAGCAGGTACTTAAGTAATATAATTCTCTAAGTAAGAAAATTACTAACAAAAGGACTTGTGAAGTTGGTAGTATTTTTAACAGTTAAATTCATGAGTCAATGTAAGTTAGACCACCAGTGGAAACTCGGGAGCACTGGATGGTCTTTTCGTCCTAGTAAAGGACGTCTCAGCAATGTACATCCACGATTCTGCGGGCGGGACCTGGGCTCAGGACCTTCGATCTCGTACGAACACCTAATCATTAGACTACTGACACGCCATCTAATGGTATCAATGTCTAACTTCAATCAATCTATAATCTTGCACATTTCATCCATTGTCTTTGGTGGGTAATTGTTTTATACCTGACATGGTTTCTCACTAGAACTTGAGGAAATTCATCTTGAAGCAAGCTATTATTGGGCCGGCTCAGTGGTCTAGAGATCACATGCTCATTTGAGTGATCGAAGGTCCTAAGTTCTAGTCTCAGGTTCGGGCTCATGGGTGCACACTGTTGAGGAATCACATACTAGAACGAAACAACCATCCAGTGATCCCAGATTTTCAACGGTAATCCAGCTTAGATCAACTTGTGAATTCAACTGTTAAGAAAAAATACCTTGACGAAATGAAAATACTTCCGATATAATTGAAATAAAATTTGTTATGCCCAACAAAAATCTTTTACAGTTCTATATTCCATAAAACTAGCCATTGTGGATTAGTCTTAGTAAATGAACGCTATATTCGGTTCCTAAGCTATTCTTGTAAACTCCAAGCTAGAACTACACAGCGACCTGAACTCTAAAGAAAAGACGCAAAATATACGAAAAGCACTTTGCTACAAAGATTCGTTTTAGTACAGAAAATATAGGGTTTTTATAGTATTTTAGATGTCGTTGGGTTTTCCAGAAAATTCTAGAATGCTATGAAAGATAGTAGCAGTATAGTAATCAGCCAATCAGAAACTCTAGATGTGACTTTTCACTTTCTTGATGTTTCTGACTAAAGTACAAGTGAACACCGATTGAATAAAATGCGTTCTAGTGTTCCATGAGCCTTTCTTGTCTTTAACGAGAAGTTTTCTGGATCACCCTTAACAATTATTTTTCTATAAAACTGATGATGTTTTAAATCATAAAGATTTCATAAATGAAGGAATCAATTTGTCTTTAACAGAATAATAATAAAATAATAAAAATAATAATAACATTAGCACCATTGGATGCCGGCTCAGTGGTCTAATTGGTTAAGCACCTGGCGCGAAACTGATAGGTCCTGGGTGCGAGGTCGTGGATGCACACTGCTGAGGAGTCCCACAATAGGACGAAACGGCTGTCCAGTGCTTCCAGGTTTTCCATGGTTGTCTAGCTTCAATTGACTCATGATTTCAATCGAAAAGAGGTCAAGTAGACAGGTTAAATGTAAGCCTTAACAAAGAAAAATGAAGTAAATTTAAAACAATATGATAATCACTCTCGATAATAAATCATTATTACCAGGGTAGGTTAAGATTATGAGCAAATTGTTTTTGAACATATAAAGGGGATTTCAGTTTCTGTATAGCCAAAGATTCCATAAACCTTAGTATACATCCCTGAAAGATTTTGTGCAATATTACAAAAGCTGACTCGATATCAACCTAATGACTAATCTCAACTAAATGTTACGCAATGTCAAAATCACTTAAGTGGTTAACATCAATTGGCATGTATCCATAGGCTTTTATTTTGTTTTACAAAGCATGATATTTCCGTTCATCCGTCATGAATAGTTAAGAAAAGTTTGCATTTAATACTTGTATATGCATTGTAATGTATCATTTTTAATAAAAATCCTAACATTATGTTTTCTTTTAATGAACGGTTTATACTACTGAATTAACTACTTGTCAAATTCACTTATTTAACCATTAATAACTTGTTTATTTGCCTTTTAAGTTTCATTACTAACAAAATATTTTTATCAGTATGCTATTTTAATTTAATGCTTGCCATTTTGACTCATTTTCATAGTTAGAATAGAAAATCCATCAATTATTCCTTTTTGTGATATTATCCTTCCATTCCACAGTGCTTAGTAGCGTAAATGATAATTCTATTGAATGTTCAAGCTTGATAATGTTATATGTTGAGATTATTTTATCATTATAATCGTTATTATTGTTGCCTATGATTAAATCTAGTTATTCTTAGTACTTATATACTCATTTCCTTGTATCACTGTGAATTACATCACATATAATAATCTATCAAAATAAAGCCATTATCAATTCAATATCAACCAAATCATTCGTATACAATGAGATCAGAGAGAAGAATTGTATCACCTGGAAGTTTGGATAGAAGATATCCACAAGAATATGAACAATATTATTCATCACCTGAAGCACGACGTGTACAAACAATGAGAGTAAGAAATTGAATAATAACTATACATATATTAATAATCCTTATCAAAGTTAATATGAAGTAGAGCTGAACTAGTATTGTTTACTAATATTCAAATCATATCTGGTTCATTTGAACCAGTATACAAACATCTTTCAATATTAATTGTAATATCAAAGTCATAGAAATTATCAAATATTAAGTGTTTTATGCAATATTAATGTCATGATTCAGTTAACACTTACAACTTCAGAGATCCATAAAAATTGTTAGATAAAATATATACTATTGATTTATTAGTAAATAGTATATCTTGAAAGAGTTCAATTTAGAATTAACTGTAGCTACACAATACATCTCCCATCCTTACTAATCACATTGAAGCGAGGTTTTTTAACTGCTATGGAATTTCAATCTCTTTGATTCTGTATTCGGATGCTTTGTAATGAAAACAAAGTTGAATATTTCGTTAACTTTTTGCCAAAAATGTGTATTGAATACTTTTGGTAATGACAACATACAGAATATTCAATTTTTACTACCTAAACTGTATGTAAAACCCATTTTTTTCTTGCTTGGTACTTCCAAAATGAAATACTATGATATATTCAGCGGTTAGTTTTTTCCCTGAAACTAAATATTAAAACAGAACACCTGTTCATCGACTTACAGTCATCCTTTGCTCTTGACATAAATGATGTAAGATAGACTAATTCTTCCATTCTTGAATTACCTCTTGATGAATAAACTTGGGAAACAATGTTTTTCTATCCAAAATATACTGCTTATATCCTCTCAGTAGTTGCATTTTTGTATCGGCAGATATATTACTATCTAGTCCTTCTGTTGTTGTTAATTAATTCAAAATGAAGTTGTCCTTATTCCTACATGATTTCAATGTTAATAATGGAGAAACATTTACCAAGCATCATGATTTGTCACATCTCATGGTGTAAATGAATCATCTAACAACGCTATCGATGAGTGATCGCTTCATTTCAGATTTGGTTGCTGCTACCTATCACTGCTTCTTAAATGACCTTAAAATTAATCAGAAGTAAGGATATAATTATTTTTTTGATTGATATATCAAACAAAGACAACAGTTTTTCATCATCGAGATTATGAGTGTACACTACTGAAGAATTTCAGTAATAAGAATGATAATAAATAACAATTATGTTAATCCTCCATAGTCTTTTAGTTCATGTTAAGATAAGCTACTGATATGATTTTACCACTATAACCCCACTTCATAGAAATATAAACATATTTATTTCATTAATGATGAGTTCTCTTGTGAAAATAATGTTAAACAGCTTGTCTTGACCAGTATGCCTACAAAGGATGTTAATGGTGATTGACCTACACAAAATTTTGTCTACCCCCAAACTACTCAATTACAAATGAGTACCAGATTACATAATTAATGAACCTTAATTTTTAAACACTTAATGGATATCTGCTTCTCACTAGAACTCCAGGAGTATCTCCTGAAGTCAGTCACTAGTGAGCAGGTGATTATTACCAGAATGGGTTTTGTGAAGATTTTTAGAAATTTCGCTGGTTGAAATCATGAGTCAATTGAAGCTAGACCTGAAGACAATGGTGTACGGTGGCTCAACTTCGTGGATTGGTTGGAGTAAGACATTAACACCGTTGGATGCCGGCTCAGTGGCCTAGCTAGTTAAGCGCCTGGCGCGAGACTGATAGGTCCTGGGTCCGAGTCTCGCAGGGTGCGGGATCGTGGATGCGCACTGCTGAGGAGTCCCATACTAGGACGAAACGGCCGTCCAGTGTTTCCAGGTTTCCCATGGTTGTCTAGCTTCAACTGACTCATGATTTCAACCAGTGACATTTCTAAAACCTCCACTTGAGGGATGTGTCAACAATTAAAGAGTTACATGAAAGCTTACTGTTAGAGAAAGATAGGAATATAGTGAACCGAATATATTTAGTAGATACATAACAATGATAAATACACTAAATCTTTATAGAATAGTTCCCGAATTTTCACATGTATGAACGGACTCACATGATCTCAATCTAAAACTTAATAATTTTTTGTTCTCATTCTCTTTTCATTGATCTTCATAACTTTCTGTCACCAGACATTTCACTTTCGATTGATGATACATACTACTTATATCTATCGATATCAATAGCACACATGACAAAACCACCTTAATCAATTCGTTTGTTCATTTTAGTAAGAGACATACCTTAACAACTTACTAGAAGTTTAATGATTAAAAAACATACTGTATACAGAGCATTGTTCTTGTAATTGTTTTTTTTTATATTAATTTTATAAAATTGACATTTTGCTTATATGATTAGTAGTAGTAGTCTTATAAGTAGTATCGTCACATCTAATGATTTTAAACTGATGTTATTTCTTTTTTGTAGTATTCACTAGTGAATCACTGATATTCTGATTATTGTTTCCTTCTTTAAGGATCATTTTGTTCCGTCCCCGTTTTTTTAATTTGATTTATTCCAACTGATAATTTTTCTGGTTAGCGTGTTTTCCAGCGAGTTAGTTTTCTACGGGATACGGTCGCTTAACACATGTCCAACCCCCAACCCCCCATTACCCGGGCTTGGGACCGGCAGTAACTCTAAAAGAGCTAAAAGCGGCTACCGGTGACCATACCACATTGAAAGCACCGGTTCTTGTCCGACTACAGCAAGCTGATAAAGATTGTTAATTAAGTGTGATTGATTTTGTGTAAACATTTTGGAATGATTTGTGCAAACTGGTAATAAAGACAACAAATGGATATTTATTTGAAGTAAATTACCAAGTCAAAGACTTCTGACAATTTGGTTCTGTATACACAAATACAACTGATCACTAAGTAGTGAACAATGTTTGTGTTTGTTTGCTATATCGATGAGTTGTAATGTGATAATTGTTTTATATGACTTAATATTGCTTGTCCTATATTGTAGTGTTAGGTGATTGTAAATAGTTGATGGGAAACTCTGATTTCTTTTTGTTCATATTAGTTTAGATTCATCCCAAATTAGATCATGTACCTGCAATGATAAGGAGTTACATACTGATATGGAAGAGCTATAAAATGATTTCAGGGTTTTGTTTCAGTGGTTTTATAGCTTATATCAGTCTTAGATACAAATTATAAAGGTCAACAATCTTCACAAATCTCCCATACTATATATCCATTAATAACTTTAATAAAAGCTTAATCTTTATCATTATCTTTATAATTATGATTTAAACAATGCTTAGATTATCTTTTACTGTCTTCTATCTATGCTATGTGTGTTATCTTTTAATACACTGGTGTTCTTCCATATATTCTTTATTATTGCTAACAATTATCATCATGTAAGTTCGTGTCATGCATTGTAAAACTTATGCGATAAATTGTTTTTTTTTATAAACAAAAATGGATGGTGGCTAGCGATAGAATCCAAGGCTTGCGTCTCATCCTATTTTGGGACTCGTCAACTGGATGTATCTGCATCTTGGGATCGTTGTTGACTCCGAGACTTGAACTCTAGGATGCAGGCGCATCCGTCTGATGAGTGCAAAATAGGACGAAAAGTGCGTCTTGAATTTCACTGCTAGCCACTATCCATCTCTATTTATAATGCTTGTAATTTAATAGCCATATCAAGGCAATCCGCATAGGATACACATATGCCAATAACAGAGGCTGATCAATTACAATCCTAAACATCATTGGAAAGATTCAAACAGCCAATACAAAAATGTAATCATTAATTGTCAAAATGGTAACAATAGTTATGACAGTCTTCAAACCGAATAAATTTTGGATTATCTGTAAAGAGAACAAATGTCTTGAGATGGTGGAGAAGATTTGTAGCTCAGATAGATGATTTTGATGAAGTTTTGTTCTCTGGGAACAACTATATTTTCTCTATGTCACGACCAAACCATCCAGCTCAGAGAACAAAACTCCATCAACAAAAATTGTCTTTCTGTCATAATTTTCACTCTACATGAATAAATCAAGATACTTAGTTCTATACTAAATGATGTATTAAATATATTTGTTATAGTTTGTATTCCATATCTATGTGGTATGTAAATACATCTGGCCAACAAGTCATAAATAAGATGAGATTTGATTCCTAGATCCTAGTGCTGGCTTCTATCAAGATTTAATCAATAATATGTCAGTTCATCAAAAGAACTACATAGAAAGCATTGCTTGATTTAGATCTCGTATTAGTTTTGAACTTGTATTAGCTATCTTGAGAAAATAAGACGGTCCAAATGGACTCAAACTTACATCATACAATGTCTTTCTGAAATATAGTTAGTTCCCTTCGTAAATTAAAAGAAAATACAATGACAACAATTTTTGCAAACACTTTAGCTTTCTACAATCAAAAATATAAAACTTCACAAATATTTTAGAGCCTAACTCTAATGTTCCTTGCCTTCAATGAGTACAATTGAACGGTAAATGAAAGATACACTTTTTAGTAGAGGAGTGTGATAGATTAATTGATTATAAAGAATATCAAATATCTATGCTCTAATCCCATTATAAGCTTATGTGGTTGGTGCAGAATAACAAAACAGTTCGATTGTACACCTACATGAAGGTCTCAGTCCATATTCTCTTACCTTAGTCAAAACTGTCAGTTAAAATTTCCTACCGAATATCGGTTCTTTTATTTACTTAATGAGTTTAATATACCACAGGAAGAAAATATCGTAAATACATTGACCTATAAAAGATAAATGGACAATCAATAATCTTTTAAATCTAAGCATGATTAGATAAACAAAGTGATTATCTAACACCGTTGGATGCCAACCGGTTCAGTGGTCGAGTGGTTAAGCACTTGCGCGAGAGATTGATAGATCCTGGGTTCCAATCCTGTGAGGCGGAGTCGTGGATGCGCACTGCCGAGGAGTCCCACAATAGGACGAAACGGCCATCCAGTGCTTCCAGGTTTTCCATGGTTGTCTAGTTTCAATTGACTCATGATCTCAACTAATGAAATTACTAAAATCTCCACAAACCTCCCCCCTTCTGATTCATATTATTTATGTTTATATAATCATTGTATATGTATTTTTCTAATCTATTTAGTATACAGATTATCCAACAAGACCTCGTGTTTATCAACCAACATATCAAGCCGCAACTATGTCATTTAATGAATTCGATCATCATTATAATAATGGTGGTACATTAAAACCGCGTAAACCAAAAATTATTACAGAACGATATAAATGTAGTGAAGTATATAATTGGCCACCGAAATTTCCAAAATTAAAACGACATAAAACTAATCCACCAAAACAAATACATACTGCACAAGATCATATTGTAATTAAACAACAATTAAAAACTACAGCAGGAAATAATTATTCACCTACAGTTCAACAAACGGAACCAAATACAGAACAAATACATTGTACTAAGGTTAGTGAATTTAAGATAATGGAATATAGTTTGTAGGATATATCTTCGTAGGAAAATTCATGTTTTCAATAGTGATCTAACATCAATCGGTTCATGATCTTAATCAAAAAACATGTTACTATGGATATTTTTATTTGACTGTTTATTATTATTGATTTATTTAAACACATAAACATTGGTACAAAAGGACACCAAATACATATGCACCGAATTAATCATTCGATTTGTTTGAGGGCTAGGATACTACCCGGGTGGTCAAACCGAAACAGGTGGTTTTCTTAGGGTATCATACCCGGAGCTTTCGACCTATAGGTCTGATCCACAAGGTAGTGGAGCATCGTAAGGTGATGCAGTCACATGGTAGCCGGTGATCAACAATAGGTTTATACGCCGTTTCTTCCTTCAAGATACGGAGCCCATGTGCACGATTGGTTTGGAATCAGAGTTTTTCAACTCTCCTAGGTAGACTCTCCGTGTCTATCACACCGGTTAAAGAGCCGAACATTCGCTTTCTGTTCTCTCAATACTATTATAGATGCTCACTGGTAAGAAGGACAAGACACCCCTTCACTTTATCAATAAAAGTTTCAAATGACACCTCAATTAAGATTAAGCTGTGGAAAATACAAGCTAAATATATTTGCTTTATGTTTTGTTTGTACAGATAAACAATCAATATCAATCACCGAATTACAAAAGAGAAATAAGTGTTTCGCCAGAACGACAAGTAACTAGTCTTCATTCATTACAAGTAAGTGCTATCGTTATTGTTAATCTATTGCGGTTTTATTAGGTTTTGTAAGAAAGTTAATTTGATTGTGGAGTATTTATTGTCATTATGGAAGATATCATCAAATCTGTTATATCCTTGTTTTATCTACTCACTAGTATGTTTTGATGTTGCGTTCAGCGTTGACGTAATAGCGGATATGTTATAACCATGAGACTTGTATCACGTGAATTCCATTTGTGAATGAACTACTTTGAGGTCAGAGAGAAGAAACTATCCCACTGCTGACCTGATTGGTTGGGAAGCCGAATGGGAAGATAATTTAATTGGAACAATACATCCGACTTACTCCTCATTTGAACAACTCAAAATAGGTATATGAATAAATATATAACTAACAAAACTACAATGTATAAGGAATGAGAAAAATACAACTTTATCCAAACTATGGCTTTAGAAAAAATGAAATACGCTTGCTATCTAGAACACTGATCCGGCATCCAGCGGTGTTAGCATCTAACCACAATCGATTCACGACATCGTGCCACCATCCTTGGTTGTCTTTGGTGGATGTCTCACATCTGACATACATTAGCTCCACCTTATACAACCATCATGATTGGTATTGTCACTTAAGACATTGGTAGAATAATCGATTTATCTCATTGATTAGATCTCATACATTTAATAACATTGGGAATCGTTTTTATTGTGTTTATGTCTTATTAACACGTTCTAACAAAGGACTGATGTTCTTATTCGGTATCTGGAGCTAAACTTATTGTCACAAGACTTATAATAATCAGCCACCTAAGTCAAATCTTGGCAGAACTCAATTCATCTACGTTTTATTATAATCAAAGAAGTAATTATTAACGATAATGGGCCTCGACCTACCTAATTATATTATGTAAATATTATATATACATGGTAGTGGAAACAATTATTTTCACCATTACTCGAATAGATCATAATATTCAAGATCGATCCATTAACCTACAACACAAGACTTATGATAAGTCTTGCGGATTGAACTCTATATTTGTTTCCTAAGCTATTCTGTAACCTCCAAGCTAGAACTATACAGCAACCTGAACACGAGAGAGAAGACGCAAATTATGCGAGAAGTACTTTGCTTCAAAGGTTCATTTTTGTACAGAGAAACAAGGGAATTTATAGATGTTAACATTTGTTAAATCAACATCATTTTGGCCAATCCGCTAAAAGACATATTATGCTACTGAACAATAGTAGCACGCCACGTTAATATTCTAGAGAGCTCCATCATGCTCTGATTGCCTAGGACTCTTCGGCTCCTTTAGGGTTTCTTGAGGCTCCGTTGCAGTTCTCAGAAAACCGACTAAACAACTTATACATAGTATAACATTTAACGTTGACATAAATTACTAAAACGTACCCCCTGATATTATTACGTAAATAAACCATATACACACGAACTTTTAGTAAAATAAACTAAATATTGTTTTCTTATTTCCTTTTTAATCTCTTTTTCACAGAGATCCACTCTGTTAGAAAAATCTAATCGAACACCGGGCACAGAGACACGGGATCAATTATTTATAGCAGATTACAAACTAACACCAAACAATCAGGTATTTTCATTAGAAAAATATAGAGGTCTATTTTGTTTTTGATATTTCGATAAGTAGAAATTAGAATGTGTTGACGTTTCGTGACTTAATATAAGCTACATTTTCCGAGCAAATAAATAAATGACCAGATTGAATTAGGGTCGGTTTAAATAGTGTGAAGGAACAGGTAGGTTAAGTGTTTACTTGCTAGATTGAAGGCAGTGGATTCGACTCTCAGATCCAGGGTTGTAGATGAGCACTATTGATGAGTTTGATGGAGTTTTGTTCTCTGAGCTGAATGGTTTGATCGTGAAGCTTTCATCATTCTTCTAAACGACATAATCGGCACAAACTTCAGGTAGAAGTCTATATGAAACATCACCATCTGTAGTTGTATGTGTCTTAGTAGATGTTTAAATTGTTAAATCTGTAGTTGAAGAAGTAAAGCTGAAATTTGCGTGAGTGTATGGTGTGAAAAATGAATAGAATTAAATGTGGTTGTTTGTATAAATAGTTTAAGTTGTATGGATAGTCAGGCTTCTGTTTCTTTTTAGGTTAAAGAGATTTAACGTTTCTATGGGATGTCTCAGTGACACGTTTCAGTCTATGATTAAAAAAGTCTTTGTGTAATCTGATATTTTCAATATTGATTTGTTAGTTGCTGAGAATAGCATATACTGTTATTTCTAATTTGATTCTCAGATTTTTCCAGTTCAGTCAAATTATAAGCAGATAGATTCGTGTGAATCAAGTGTTCGTTGATACAACGGAAGAGGTCCTGAAAACATTCTCATCCGGCATTGTTTAACACTTTGATATCTTTCAAGTCTTTAAATCTCTATCTCTTCTCTATGTATTTGTATGCATAAAATTTCTAGCAATCTCACTATTCATTCATCCATTGGATACTGCATTTACGAAAAAAAGATCATTTACTCATTTACTCGTTTAGTTTATCTGAATAATAATTTCTTCTCATTAGAGAATAGTTAAGCTCTCATTTGTTTACTGTATACTAATTATATCAAATAAACTTTGAATGCCTATTACCACTCGTCGAAGAACATAGGGCGACCACCAGCATTCTCCATCCAACTCTGTCCTGGACAACCCTTTCCAGTTTCTATTCATCATTTTCATGTCTGCTTTCAATTCTCAACGCAGTGTATTCTTTTTTCTTCCACTTTTCCGTTTCCCTTCAGCATTCCAGGTTAGCGCTTGTTTCGTGCTTCAGTTTGATGATTTCCGTAACGTGTGTCCTATCCACTTACAACATCTTTCCCTAATTTCCTCCTCCGCTGGAAGCTCGTTCGTCCTTTTCCACAGTAGGTTGGTGTTGATGGTATCCGACCAACGTTCACTGATTGTCTTGAGTTGACGACTGTTTGGAAATACTTGTACATTCTTGATGATGGTTGTGATAGTTCTTCAAGTTTCAGCTCCGTACAGTAGAAACTGTCATGACATTCTCATTGAAGGCTCTAGCTTTGATTTTGGCTGACAGTTGTTTTGAGTTCTATATATACTTCAGTTGTAGGAATGCCTTCCTTGCTATCCCAATCCATACCTTCACGTCTGCATTAGATCCTCTTTGTTCATTGGTGATGCTGCCGGTGTAAGTAAACTTCTCCACCACTTCCAGAGCTTCTCCACTAAGTGTGATCTAGTTGGTGTTTCCTGTGCTGAACATTGGGATCTTTCGTTTTTCTTTGTGTATGCTGAGGCTTACTGCTCTAGATGTTGCTGCTAAACTGTTTGTCTTGACTTTTATTCGTTGGTGTGTATGAGATAGAAGGGCTAGGCCATCTGCAAAGTCAAATCGTCACGATGCATCCAAGCTGTGCATTGTATTCCGTGCTTCTACTGAGATATTGAGGTCTACATAATTCAATCGACCAACTGAAGAAGGAGAAAAGGTGAGTATAAGCAGCCTTGTCTGAAGACGTTCTTCACTTGGACTGCATCTGCCAGCTGTCCTCCATGGACCAATTTGCAGTGTGGTCCGTTGTACAGGTTACGTATGATTTTGAGGTACACCATGGTCTCGAACAAGGTTCCACAAATTTCTCTTATTTACACTGTTAAATACTTTCTCATGCTCAAGGAAGTTGATATATAATGACGAGTTCCATTGGACCGACTTTTCAATTATGATCCATAGTGTCGTGATTTGGTCTGTGAACGACCGATCCTTACGGAATCCAGACTGCTGATCTTTAAGTTGGTCGTCTACCAAACCTTTCATCCGGTTCAGCAGCACTCTGTTGAAAACACTTCCTGGTACCGATAGTGATGTGATACCTCTGTAGTTCCCACACTTGCTCAGATCTCCGTTCTTTGATATATTGTCTAGGTGTCCTTCCTTTCAATCCGTTGGATCCTGTTCTCCCTCCCAAATCTTCCTGAATAGAATATGAAGCATTTTTGCAGTTACTTTTGTTTCTGACTTTAGTGATTAACTGGTACATTGTCAGGTCCTGCTACTTTACCACTCTTAATTTTTTTGGTAGCCATCCTGATTACTTCGATCGTTAGTGGTGTGATATGTACTAGAAGTTCTGTGTGTAATGCTTCGATGTCCAATGGGTTCAGTTCTCATAAAACTGATCTTTGTCGTCTACGTTGCTATCATTGGCGGGAACATAGGTCCGGATGGAGTTCTTTCTAATCCCCTTTTTCATTGTTTAGAAGGATGTCTTGACGATTCTGGATCCATGAGCTTCCCATCTCACAAATTCTGTTAGTGCCTCTTTGGACAGCATCAGTATAACTCTTTGTATTTGCGAAATATTTTCTTCTTCATGACCAGAGTACGACAACATCTCTTCCAAATCTAATGCTTTCTGATCAGCCTGTGTCCAATAGGTTTTATTTATTTCGAGTATCACCAATTTGTATCCTCTAATTTCCACAGCAACTTAATTGGCCATTTCGGCCTTCCATATTATACGGACATTCTATATACCTATATTAACTGTTGATCTGGTTGTCAAAACAGGTATCAGCCTTGTGATATCTGATAAATGCCAGTTTTCTCCATGAGGCGTTATAACCCTTCTAGTATGAATATCATTCAACTTCCATGTCAGGGTTTGAATCGTTCACATGGTTTTGTTTGTGGTAAGCCTTCTTTAGCAAGATTGTCTCCTACCAAATGATGTTGCTAATCCCATTTTCAGCTCTCCTCTTTTATTTGGGTTCCGAACCGACAGTAGCCTTAGAAACGCTCCAAGTGAAGGTATGAACGTATTTTACAGAATATTATTCTATCCCAATAAGTGAATGTTAAAGCGTTTGCAAATGACAACCTAACTGAAATTCAAACATATTTTATACATTATTAATAAATGGTTTGGTGTAGAAAAACAAATGTTAAACATTTCAAATCTTTCATTTTGTACTCTTTATGAGATATCAATCTTTTAGGAGAATATTACATCACAGAGTGAAACTGACTGAAGAAATATCAAAAACGAACTAGCGTTATCTAATGCTACTTAATTGTTCATTGTACCTCAAATAAATTCAATCCATAATGAATACCTTCTATAAATGAAAATAATCTTCAACAAATCTTTATTTGTAATCAAAGAGGAGTTTTGTGAATATTATAGTAATTTTAATACTTGAATTCATGACTTAATTGAAGTTAGACCATAATGAAAAACCTGGAAGCATTGAATGGCCGCTTGATCCTAGCATGAGACTCCTCAGCAGTGCGCATCCATGGTCTCACCTCGCAGGACTCGAACCCGGGACCTATCAGTTCCATTCTCGAGCGCTTAACCTCTAGACCACTGAACCGGTTGGCATCCAACGGTGTTAGTGTTTAACTTCAACCAATTGACGAAGTTGCGCCAATGTCCACCATTGTCATCAGGGAGTTACTATCTCATAACAGACCCAGTTAAACTTCACTGATCACAGTTTCGCACTAGAACTCCAGGATTTTGTTTCTAGTGTGTGTTTTTTTCCTTTTATTATGTGTCAACAAATAAATCTTCACTCCTCATAAACAGTACTATTACTACCACTAATAATAATAATAATAAACCTATATATTCACTTTAATAAACTAGACATCTTCAGTGCTTATTCGTTACAAACCACAGGTAAACACATTGAATATAATCCTATCACTATGTTTTATAAACAATTACACTTCTTCAATGAACTAAGTTGATTAGGATTTTCTTTTCTTATATTCAATATATAACATAATATATTCTTAATAATGGTGTTTGATGAAGGTGAAGTTGTTTTAATATAATGACTCTTTAATGATTTCTTAAAACATCATCTTATTGGATAGATTGAACGTTTTTGTTTTATACAAAATATTAACCGCGTTAGATTTCAAATTTATTAGTATTGCTTTAGTTGTTTTATTACTATTATTATTTTATCCTTGAAACTTATGATCATTTGTTCCGTTTCCATGATCAATAATCAATAGTTCAGCGGTAATTTCCATCTCAACATTCACATCGGTGAGTCTATAATTCATGGGCGACCTTTGGGCGACACTAAAGTGACCTTGAGTGACCTCGACCTAATAACTAGGACCAAATGAAGATTATAAACCAGTGTAAGGAATACGAATTATGATGTCTAGTTGATAGTTATGGCTAGGAATTATGATTTAGGTTTTTCATCACGATATCATGACATCAGCTATAATGCCAAAACTCTATTTAACCAAATGGAAAAGTGAATTTCGCGCCAAAATTCGAGACCAGTATTCTTATGTCTGATTGGTTTGTCCATAAATTATAGTCTCTCTGTACCACATGATAAGGAAGGAATGTTTAGTTTTCTATGTTCAACTACAATGGTCTTAGTTAATTTATTCTATATTTTAAAAACGTATGAATTACATAATTATTCTTCGAAGACATTTTGACATTGAATATTATTTATTCTAATGAATTTTTCAAATCTGTTCTCGAACTTAGCACAGCCAAATTGTTCCATGTTATTCAATATTCATTAACAAGATGTACGTACAATCTACAGGAAAC